AGTAGCAGCAGCAGCAACCCAGACTGACAGCAGCTCATTGGCTAATATGCATCACGTGCAGCCTGGAGCCGGAGGGCGTTACCGTACAAACAGGAGACGCGGAGCAAGTGAAATAAAGACACTGCCATTGTACAAAATAAGGTCATTTATAAATGTTTTAAATCAGGTTGGGTCTGGATGAGCCAGCAGGTGGATCCGGATCTGGACCGCGGTCCGTTAGTCCGTGACCTCTGATCTGGACTAAATAAAATATATATGGCCAGAACTAATAATGTGTATATTTATTAGTACATCGAGGGATAAGTAGATTGAGCTGAGGGAAGCCCACTGAAGGCCCAGGTACCCCCTGCCAAAACCCAATAAGGAAAAGATGCTTTTCTTCTCAAAAACGTTTCCTCCAGTGGGAACAGTTTCCTCTTTTCCAGTCGTTCCGACTGATGAGACAAAGTTCACACACGCAATATATCCTCCTATAAGCAGCTTTACTTCATACAGACGCTCATTAACTCTTCCTGATGTCAAACATATACGAGTCTGAAGGCGCCTGTGATCGGCTACCTTTCAGGAAGGGATGTTTGACTAAAGCTGCTCTGAATCTACGGAGGCTGAAAACTGACAGAATTAGAAATAAAAGTGGAAATATACAACTTGACCAATAAATAAACTATAAATGTACCAAAGAATGTGTTACAGAAATCCACTGTTTTTATTTCACCACCTTTTCTTTACCTTTGTATTTAATTCATATTGATTCAAGCCTTTTTATTGGTCGACGGTAAGACCGGTGTGTCATCACCTGGATCGTTTTGCTCCTATCCAGAAATATCCTTACTGTAGAAAAATTGTGAATTTAAAAAAAGGGTTTGAATATTTTCCTAATTTTATTATCTAATTCTGAAACATTTGGCTTGAAGGAAGGAGGGTTGAAGTCCACCCAGACCAGTGATGATGAGCAGAAACAGGAAGCGGTGGACGTGGGGTTCTGATTCTATGAGCAAACGGACAGAACCAGCAGAACCTGAAGTAAAAACAGCTTCAGACGGCCAGCAGAGCTCTGCTGACCGTCAGCGTAGAGCTCAGGACAGAACGCTGCGTCTCAACTGAAGGAGCGGCGGGTTGGTCTGCGGTTCTCGGAGCAGAGCCGCTCCCTGTGCTGCCGTCTCACCTCATGGATGAAGCTGGAAGCGAACCCAGAAATGAGGAATGCGCCACAGAGGACAGCAGATTCCCGTCTCCACTGTGTCCCTAAAATATCTGCCCCTCCCCCGCTGCCCCGCCCCCCATGCATACTGACCAGAGTTCCTGTTCCTGCGTTGAGCGTGTAGGAGGAGTTGAAGAATTTGAGGCTGGTCTTGGGGTCGTCTGGAATCTCCTCGCTGTTCTTGAACCACTGGTACTGAGACTTGGGGAAGCCCTCCTCCTCCACGCAGCTGAGCTCGGCCGACTTCCCAAAAGGCACCGACTTCGGAACGCTGCACTTTGGCACCACCGGCTTCACTGCAGCGACACATGGAAGGAGTCAGAGCAGAGCAGAGTCTGAGAGCATCACTGGGCCTGAAGTTCAGGCCGCAGCTTTAAAAAGACCAAAACCCTTTGGATCACTGGACTGAACCCGGTTTCCAGGCCGTGCCAGAACATGCAGCACCTGCTTTCTTTAGCACAGCAGCTCAGAACAGATGCAGTTTCAGAGCCTTCCTCTTATAGCCCAGAACACGCCTTTGCAGCCGGGCAGTTCTGGTCAGAACCCATCCTAGTGAGGTCGGCGCGACCCGGAGCACGGTGTCACTTTACAGCCACTCAGCTCTGCCTTTTAGGGTGAGAACAAAACGTCTGGATACCTCTGACCACCAGGTTGATCTCGATCTCATCGAAGGTCCGTACATCAGCAGCAGCCGTGACCTCGCAGCGGTACTTGGCCGTGTCTGACCTGGTGGCGTTGGTTATGACGAGTGTGGCGGGCTCTCGGATCACAGCTCGGTTCTCCAGGTCACCTGTCAGGAGAGCAGAGGTTCAGACAGAAGCACCAGAGCAGAGGTTCAGACAGAAGCAGCAGAGCAGAGGTTCACACAGAAGCAGAGGTTCAGACAGGAGCAGAGGTTCAGACAGAAGCAGCAGAGCAGAGGTTCACACAGAAGCAGCAGAGCAGAGGTTCAGACAGAAGCAGCAGAGCAGAGGTTCAGACAGAAGCAGCAGAGCAGAGGTTCAGACAGAAGCAGCAGAGCAGAGGTTCAGACT